CTTGTTTAATGGCAAAAAGTGGTTTGTTTAATGGCAAAAGCCATTTTTACTTCTCTGAAATTAATATGAATCTCAACAATAGTTTCTGGGGGGGGAGGGGTGATCCAAAACATAATGCCTCTGATAAAATTATCTTCCTAACAAAATAATTAGACCCAACTGGAGTAGGTCCTCTATATCGATAGGAAGTTGATAAATTACTCCTTGATTCAATGTATTCACCTGACCAGTGAGAACTAAGAATACAATTTAGAGACTAGTCAGTAATAAATAATGCTCACTTTAATTATGTTGTTTAATTTACTAGACACATCTTGGGATCCAGCAGATCTTTTGCTTAATCACATATCACCGATTCTCTTGATGCCTAATATTCATCTGTTGACAATTGTTACCTTTCAACCTCGGTGTCTCTGTCTAAAAATGCTCACTGGACCCTTCTAGATAGCAGATTCCCCCACAACACACACACAACCCTCTCCAGATATCTCATAATTTTTAAATTGAATTATCTGTTTTATATAAACACTGTTTATTTCCTAAGCTAAGGACACTTGCTGTAATGATAGTTTTTGTGAAGTAACTGGACCAAATTTCAATTCATGTCATGAAAAGGAGAGCACATTTCTCTTCTGAATTCTGCAATGACTGAGAGCTGCACATGGTCTGAAATATTAAGGTTACAAAAGCATTACAAGACCTCTCCTGCCAAGAGCCGAGCTCTAACTATACCAGTGTAAGGGATTTAGCAGCAATCTCAACTTTGTCTCACTGGGATTAATTTAGGACAGGACTGGGCTGCAAGTCAATTTAAAAATTACTTAGCTGATCCTTTCTAATGCTCCATTAAAGAAGAAAGTAAGGAAGGAAATACTGGTTTCTTTGAAACAGTAACTGAGACAAGAAATTATTTACCATTGGGAAAGGTCCTGGATGTAGGTGGGCCTTCTGCAAACTAAAAGAAATCAAACTTGAACACTGAATTCCATTTTACATTTTATGTCATGTCAGAGAGAAGGCTACTTATTGGGGAAAAATCAAGAAGAGCTTTATAACATACAACTATCTTGACATGTGGACACAACTATTTTTTTAAAAAGGAAAATGTTATATATATATACACACACGGTAATACTGCACACTAAAAGAAGAGCTTTATAACATCCAGCTATCTTGACATGTGGACACAACTTTTTTTAAAAAAGGAAAAGGTTAAATACATATACGGTAATACTGTACACTAAAATAAGTTTTAGTTTAATTTGATATTTAACAAGCACAAATATTTACAAGAACATGATAACATTATCAAATTCACCACAGTATAAATAGATGACCTCACACAAATATTTTGAGAAGCACAGAATACTCTAGAGAAGGGGAGCGGCTAGTTTTGCCCTTTTTAGTGAGCTCACTCTGTTTTCCTTTATGTGCCTTTTTATTAAATAGTTTTTAAGGTAGTTTTGCAATTTGTAATTGTGAGTGGTTAGTAGTTGTTATCATGCTATGCTGATTTTGTATTAAGGCTGAGTCGTCTAAGGGCTGAGAAGGGCGGTATACAAATATAGTAAATAAATAATAAATTTTAGTGCTCTCTCTCTATATATATAATATTTACATGTCTTTCTTAGTATTGTATGGATATTCTGATAAATAAAGGTGTAGTATCTTACCTTTGCCCTTGCTGAAATTCATTTTGTTAGTTTTGGACCATCTCTCTAATCTGTTAAGGTCATTTTGAATTCTGATCCTGTCCTCTGGAGTATTAGCTATTCCTCCTAATTTGGTGTCATCTGCAAACTTGAAAAGCACACCCTCTAAGTCAGGGATCCTCAAACTTTTTAAACAGAGGGCCAGGTCACGTTCCCTCAAACTGTTGGAGGGCTGGATTATACTTTGGAAAAAAAATTGAATGAATTCCCATGCACACTACACACATCTTATTTGTAGTGCAAAAAACACTTATAAACAATATAATAATTAAAATGAAGAACAATTTTAGCAATTATAAATTTATTAGTATTTCAATGGGAAGTATGGGCCTGCTTTTGGCTGATGATATAGGATTGTTGTTGTTGTTTTTGTTGTTGTTGTTGTGTGCTTTCAAGTAGTTTCAGTCTTAGGTTGACTCTGAGTGAGGGCCGGGTAAATGACCTTGGAAGGCCATATCTGGCCCCCGGGCCTTAGTTTGAGGATACCTGCTCTAAGTCATTAATAAAGATATTGAGCAGTACTAGAGCCAGAACCAAACCCTGTGGCACTCCACTAGTCACTTCTTTCTAGGATAAAGAGGAACCATTGGAAACACCCTTTGGCTTTGGTCACTTAACCAATTACAGATCCACTTAATAGTAGCATTGCCTAGCCCAAATTTGACTAGTTTATTTGCAAGAAGGTAATGGGGGACCTTGTCAAAGGCCTTACTGAAATCAAAATATTGCTGACAAATGGCTATCCAGCCTCTGCTAAAATACGTCCACTTAGAGCAGTTCTACACAGACACCAACATCAAATTAGGAAGTAGATTCAACTGAACTGATTACATTGTGAAGTGCCTACACACGTGTTCCAGGAACCAGTTCGACAGTGGCCGCAGTATCTGCTGATTCAGATCAAAACCAAGCCCAAGAATTTTTAAATTTTCTAACCCATTCCACCAAGATGTTCAGGATCAGCATGGGACCATGACAGGGCACAGGAAAGAAGAACAAAGGGGCAGAAAATGAGAGTCTGTGGGTCAACTGCTGTGGGTCAACACTGTACAATAGTAGGATTTTGTAGTTTTACAGGGTCTTTAGCCTTCTCTACCAAAGAGTACTTGTGTCTCACCAAACTATAAATCCCATAAATCCCATAGCATTAAGCTATGCCAGTTAAATTGGTGCCAGACTGCATTAGTTCAACAATGTAAATGCACCTTTAAATATTTTGCCACATTTCTTTTTGTCCTTCCTTCCTTCCTTCCTTCCTTCCTTCCTTCCTTCCTTCCTTCCTTCCTTCCTTCCTTCCTTCCTTCTAATGCCATAATTGATTATTCTTAATCCTTGAAAGACACAATTTTGTATTCCCTTACAAAAATATAAGTACTCTAATACAATCCATGTTAAACAAAAAATCAAGTTCTTTCACCTTCAAGTGGGATTGACTACAGATAAATGAGAAAGGGCCCATCCAGACAGTACCTTTATTGTGGAAACTTCTGCAATAAAAAGGGGGCTGTCCAGACAATGTTCTGACCAATCCCAAATTAATTTACCACAAACCAAGAAAACCCTGGTTTGTGGTGAATTAATTTGATAGTGGATTTATTCCATGCTTTCTTGCATCGGGAGAGCTCTGACAGAACTATAATAGAGGCCAGGTAAGCTTATTTTACTTTTAAAAGGGGGTTGGGGGAGGGTTTCCAGATGTTCTGCCAGGCCAGACCATGTTTTTTAAATGCGGATGCTCCTGGGATAAAGTGCAGTCTGGAACTGCCCAAAGAGATCAGTGCTGTTGTAAAAATACATCATTAAAATAGCTGTGTTAAAATTCTTTGCTCCCAGAACTACAAAAAACCGAGCACCTGGTGTGCATGCATTTTGGTAGGTTATTATTTTTTTTACTCCTTACATGAAAGACAACTTTTATTTCAGAGCTAGAAGAATAAATATTTAAAGCCTTGCATCTCTATAGATGTCGTGGTTCTTGTATCTGCACTACTTTGTGGTCTTGTTTCCTAACGCTATTATTCATGAAGTGATATACTCAGCTGGGGGTGGCTTTAAAAAGCCACACCATACGGTGAAAGAAATGCTTAAAAGGGGGTTGAGTAAGAAGGAGGGATTGCAAAGGAGCTCAGCTGCTGTTGCGGCTTCTTTGAAATCGCAATAACAGGACCAGGCAACAAAATTGTACATTTTTAGTGATGGTTGGAATATTGAACTGTGTTTAAGTCAAGCTTTTTCTGTTATACATTTGCAATTTTCTAAATGTGTATTTATATTAGTTGTTATGTTTTTCAGACAGGATCTCATTGATAATAACTCAGGATAGTATGTATATATGCTGCAGAAATGTTTGTTCTGCTACAGAGTCCAGTATAAGGTGTTTGTTTTTGTTTTTCTTTTTTGGAAAATGACATTCATAGCCTTTTGGAAAATGCCTTTTAGATAAGAGCAAAAAAAAAATTCCTTTAGACTAGAATCTTCTCTTGTGCTATACAACCAGATATAATTATGCAAGGCAATGCTTTCAGTTGTTAGACTGAATAACCTATAATCTCTGATCTGTTGAGATTTGCCAATGCATAAGGAAAAAGACCCAGCAGTGCTTCCGAAGTGTTTTTCAGTGTCATATATATATATATATAT